GGGTTCCAAACATGCACGTCATATAACAAGGGAGGTTCCAATTATTTGTCCCAAAACAAAAGCATTAGTTTTCAAACAAAAAAAAAAGGTGGGGGGGGGGAGGTTATTTAAAGCCCCTGGATCCGCCACCGGGCTGTACAAATTGCAATCTTATTAAAAACAGTATAATGCATCCATATTTGAAAGCGATGTTTATAGACCTCATTGATAAAGAAAAGATCAATGAAAACTCATTTGGCCTTTGAACAAAATTCTTCGTAATGGTTATCAATATAAAATTGTAGTAAAATCTTTGAATTTTGTCTTGAATGGCACCAATATTGATTTAATTTATACATAACTAAACAAAGATATTAACATGGATGTGGTTTGTTTTAAAAACATGTTTTTTATTAGTTGTTATTGTTATTTTTTATTGGCTTTGAACTAGTTGTCAGTAACTGCGAGTACTCTCAGATCTGTATTTAGAGTCTGTTTTGTTTTTAGGGATGAGGGATGGATATAGACCCTGCCACGTCCTGTCTGTGATTTTGTTTGATGTTTTTCTTTGTATCGATCTGATGAGTTAAGCTTTTTTTCAACCGATTTTTATAGTTTGTTCTGATGTTGTGCTGTTACACCACTGTCCCAGGTTAGGGGAGGGTTGAGCGCTCACAAACATGTTTAAAATAATGGAATTAATTATTTTTGGAGTGTTAAAAATTCTTTAGAGGTTTTAGATAAAATACGTGCTTTTGATGGTCCTGTTAATTCTGTTGACAGTTATATTTTTTCTACTCTCTTCACTACACTTCCAGACAATCTTATCAAGAAAAAGTTTTCATATTTAATTAAATGGTCTTTTGAAAAATCTCATTGCAAATTTATTTGCCGTAAATCGTTTAAAGCCTTTTTCTGTCACTAACGAAAAAGGAAAGTATGCTAGATACATTTACTGGAAATGTGAAGATATGATTGAAGCTTAAAATTTTCTCCTGGACAACATATATGTACGTTTCGGCGATAAAGTGTATCGACAGGTAGTAGGTATTCCTATGGGCACTAATTGCGCCCCTTTAATAGCAGATTTATTCCTGTATTGCTATGAATCACAGTTTATGGCCAAACTCAGTAAAGACACGTCATTATTATATTTGGTTGACACATTCAACAATACCTACCGTTACCTTGATGATATTTTTCGTTAAATAATCCAGAGTTCTCTAAATATTCTACCGAAATTTACCCAAAGGAACTAACTTTAAATAAATCTAACATAAACAGCAGTAGTTGTCCTTTTCTAGATTTAGACATTTCAATTTCTAAGGGAAACTTCATACTAATATTTACGACAAAAGAGACGATTTTTCATTCCCCATTCTTAATTTTTACTTTTTTAGACGGCAATGTTCCTTTGGCTCCATCATACGGTGTTTATATATCCCAACTCGTTCGTTATGCCTGTGTGTAACTTGATGTCACAGATTTTAACGAACGTAATCAATGCATCACTGGTAAAATATTAAGTCAGGGATTTCGTTACCATAAATTACTTAAAACATTTACTAAATTCTTTCGTAGATACAAAGATTTGACAAGAAATGATTGTAACAGGATGCTGTTACGAAGTCTCCCAAACGAAGCTCCCATAATTCGTCATCCCCAGGGTCGCCTGACATTGGGCAAAGTCCAGTGAAAATTGGTTTGGTCCAGTAAAGTTATATGCATTAGTGATGCCTGGGGACTGACCCTGTATATCATTCAAATCATATTGGCATGACAAACCAGAATATATATAGTTTAGGGTGGGGACCTCGACCACTTATAAGATTTTAAATCATTGGGGTTGGGGGACCCCTGGGGACTGACACTATATATCTTTCGAATCTTTGTGATATGACAAACAGGAATATATATGGTTTAGGGGTGGGGATCTCAACCATTTACAAGATATTAGAACTTTCTCAAATGGCAGGGGGTGGGGTGATCCCTGGGGACTGACCCTGTATATTATTAAATCTTCTTGACATGACAAATAGGATTATATATGGTTTAGATGTAGAGATCTCGACCATTTCCAAGATATTAGATCATTGGGGGTGGGAGAATCCAGGGGACTAACCCTATATGTCATTCGAATCTTTGTGACACGACGAACAGGAATATATATGGTTTAGGGGAGGGGATCTCAACCATTTACAAGATATTAAACTGTCTCAAATGGCATGGGGGGGGGGGGGGGGGTGACCCCTGCAGGGACTAATACTTGACTTCATTTAATGTGATGTATCATGACTAACCAGAATATATATGATTTAGGGGTGGGGATCTTAACCATTTACAAGATAATAAAACTTTCTCAAATGGCAGGGGGTGGGGTGACCCCTTGGGACTAATACTTTATTTCATTTGATGTGCTGTATCATGACTAACCAGAATATATATTGTTTAGGGGTGGGGATCTCGACCATTTACAAGATATTAGAACTTTCTCAAATTGCAGGGGGTGGGAGTGACCCCTGGGGACTAATCCTTTATTTCATTGGATGGACTGTATCATGACAAACAAGAATATATATGGTTTAGGGGTGGGGATCTCGACAACTTACAAGATAAAAGAACTTTCTCAAACGGCAAGGAGTGGGGATAACCCCTGGCGACTTACCCTTTATTTCATTTGATGTGCTTTAACATGACAAACCAGAATATATATGGTTTAGGGGTGGGGATCTTGACCACTTACAAAATATTAGAACTTTGTCAAATGGTATGGGGTGGGGGTGACCCCTCGGGACTTACCCTTTATCTCATTTGATGTGCTTTATCAATTATAACATTTTCAATTATAAAGATTGTGTCTATCACTAACGGTTTTTAAGTTATAATCATATAATTTAATTTTGGATGTAACGCGTCTTCTGATTGGCTGACGTTGTTTTGTTTATCAGCTCATAGACATAATTTTGTCATGTGACCGTGACGTCATCAACGTTTTTTCATGGTTTACTCCGGTTTAAAATTGAATTTAGAATTAAATTATAAGAAATGACTGTAATATTTTTTCTGTCTATTCGAAATAACATAAAAAAAGTGGTGCACACTTTAACATAACCCGCTACGCGGGTTATTCAGTGTGCACCACATTTTTGATGTTATTTCTTCATAGACAGAAAAAATATAACAGTCATTCCTTAATTGAAAATTAAAAAAAAAAATAAAATCCCATAGGGTTCTATAGTAAACCCCTCCTTTCTTTTGGCCCCTCAAAGTACCCCTTTTTAGACCCCAATGTACAAACGAAACCCTGATTGCACCACTAGACATGTTAGTCTAAAAAACATATTGTGAAACCTTAAGTAAATCTGACAAGCGGTTTTGGAGAAAGGGTGCGGACAAGTTCATTTAAAAAAGTGGCGGAAGAGGAAGAATAATAATAACAAGATTTGTCATTGCAAGCAATAGCGGATGTCACCCTTCCCCCATTGCCACTAAGCAGCAGCCATTTCGAAAATTTTAAACAGTGAATGCACATATATGCATGGCTATACATCTTTCTGTAAATTTTCAGAGCATTTAGAGCATTTTGAAATTTATGACATGTTTGCAGTTTCCATGGCAACGGTGGTCATTTTGGAAATTCCAAAGTCAAAAGTCTCATCTATATTTGCCAGTATACAATCATATTAAGTTTCATTAAGTTTGGAGCATTTTGAAATTTTTTGACATTTTTGCTGGTTTTCATGGTAACAGAGACCATTCCCAAAATTTAAATGACAGATGCCAAATTGGTACATGGGAGGGAACATGCCATCAAAGTTTCAATGGATTTGACCTACAATTTTAAGAGAGGAAATACTACTTTAAGGTTTTCGGAGCATTTTGACCTTTTTTTGCATTGTTTCCATGGTAACGGCAGCTATTTTTGAATTCCAAAGCCAAATGCCATGTCTTCACATGCCAGTCAACATTTCAATAAGTTTTGAACATTTTGATTTTTTTGAAATTGTTGCTGTAGTTTCTATGGTAACATAGTAGTTCCGATGATTGTCAAAATCATCCAAAACCTGTATATAGTGGACATGTACCTTGTATTAAAATTTAATGATTTTAAGTTCAGGCATCTTCAAATAATTCGTTAAAACCCCAAAATTTTATTTTTTTTACAATTTTTCTGTTTCCTTGGTAATGGCAGTCATTTTTTTGGTGCCAAAGTAGGATTGCAAATCTACATATGGTGATTACCCTTATGCTTAAGTTTGATTAATATTGGTCCTTCAGTTTAACAGGATCGCTCCGGACAAAAAAGGTGGAATAATAATTATAATAAGAATAGGGAAAAAGAAACGGAGGAAAAGCTCATGTACCACCTTTGATAAGTATTTAATATGACGATAGATTTTCATTTCTGTACTCGTACTGTGAACAACAAATTTATTAACTTTGTAAAAAATGTTTACTTTCGTTTTATGCACCTGTTGTTTGTCTTTTGATCGTCTTTTTTGAAATGGCATTGTCAGTTTGTTCAAGGATTTGTGTAGTAAGATATACAAATTATGGGCTTGGTATGTTTGTCCCTTTGGTTTCTTTCGCCTCTCTTTTATGAAACATAATCAAAACGAATTGGTCATTTTCCATTTTGGTACCCCAAACAAAATTGAAACTGTTTCTTTTAATAGATTCATTTTTATATGATTGTAATTTGCTAAAAATCGAGTGGCATTATTCAGGTAAATTCATCGTTATACGTTTGGCGCTAATTTTCGTGGATTTCGTAGGCATAGTTCAATCTCGAATATAAACGTTCAATAAAATACAAATTGCCCATTTGCGTAAATTTATATGCAGCTTTTATCAACCCCGAAAAATTATTTGTTCCTCAGTCCTCGAAAAAAAAATCCAAATCTTCAAAATTTTGTAGCAAGGGTTTTTGACGTTCAAAGAGCGTGACCTCTTCCTTTCTCTCACAAATTATTCTCGGTCGAATTGAGCATGTAAAGAAAAAAAAAAACCAAAAAAAAAAACAACTTACAGTTACAATTTATTGTGAAATGACAAACTGAAAAATTAGAATAACAAATGACCGGAAAAATATGAATGACGTAAACCGTGAACCACCTCTCCTGGAGACCCTCTGTGCTGAATAAAAACACGGTCGCCTTTCTTCAATTCAAGTATCCAATTCTGTGTGTTAGAGTTAGCATGAGCTGTTGGACTTGTATACCCATAAGAAAATCTCTCCTTGTTTTTATACAGCCAGTAGTGAATATTGTTTCTACCACCAGCCACCATAACGCACGATATTTGGTAGACACCTTCCTTTGGTGCCGTAAACACGCCTGTGGATGGGTTATAGTTTTGTCCAATATTAGTCGTTACCTCATCAAATTTGAGAACATTGTCTCCTGAGAAGATAGTGTTGGATTTCAGAAAAGCAAAGAAAGCTGGTTTGTTTTTTATCTCTGCAAAACAAAACACATTAAACTATTATGTAAAGTAAATACTGTATTTTGTCGTTATTTCTAGATTTAAATTACATGACCAAAAAGGACCTAAAACATTAGAGCCAAATCCATCCAAACCCTTTGTCTGAGATCATCTCCTCTGAAACTATTGGGCCACAATCACTATTGGGGTATCTAGTTTAAAAAAATTGTCTGATGACTACCTCTGTCAACCAACATGGCTAAAGAAAGAGCATACGGGTAAAATGCAAGTGTTGTCTATTATTGTAAAAAACACAAAAGATAAGGAAAATCTGACTGGGGCAAAAATGTTAAGTTAAGAATGATGAGATTTACCTTCTGTCTATTGGAATCAAAACTGTCCGACTACTTCTTGTTATTGACGAATTTTACATTTTTTTTCTGGTATCCTATTATCTTGAAAATTAAAATAGATATGCATAAACTTTGTATTGCAAATATGATCAGCTAGAAAAGATCTACAAATAAATCATCAATGGCCGTATCTTCAGTCGGCTCCCTTTTTGGAGTAATTGCCCTTTCATGGGGATTTTACCATTTTTTGTGTTTTTGCCTATTATCCTGAAAACTATTATTATAGATAAATAGAAACTTTAAGAACAAAAATGATCAGTAAGACAAGATCTACAAATAAGTCACTTGCGGAAATTGTTGGTTGACTTCTTCTAGGAGTTAGGCCCAAATGACGATTTGAACCATTATTCAGCACTTTTGCCTTTAATTTTGAAACTAAAATAAAAAGAATGAATTTTAGAGAGCAAAAATGATTCACAAGTTAAGATTTATAAATAAGTTGAAATTACTGAAATCGGTGGTCTACTCTTTATATGAGTTAGTGCCCTTAAATGACAATTTTTAACATTTTATGCGTCTTTATAAAAATAAGAAGATGTGGTATGATTGTCAATGAGACAGCTCTCTACCAGAGACTAAATGACATAGAAGTTAACAACTATAGTTACCGTACGGCTTTCAACAATTATTTTGACTGTTATTTTTATAACTGTAATGGATAGTTAGAAACTTTTAAAAGCAAAAATGATCAACAAGATAAGATCTGCAAATAGATCAGCATACATGTAGATGCACTTGCCAGTTTTATTCTTATAGGAGTCAATGCCCATAAATGGCGTTTTCTACTCATTTTGTGTTTTTGGCCTAAAAAAACCAACAAAATAATAAAAAATAGAGACACTGTAAACAAACAAAAAAATATCATCGGTACAAGTTCGACACAAAAAGAGATTTAGTCATGACAAATATTCTAGTCTATAATGTTGATGATGATGCACATAGACCTAGGTGAGCGATACAGATTCTTTTTAAAGCCTTTAGTTAGGATTAACTGTTACAATATGGGGGACGTGTTACCTAAAGTTAAATAGAAGAGAAAATTAAAAAAAAAGTTGGAATGGATACCAAACCGTTTTCATTTTAATAGAGTCACATTTTAACTAATTTCAGCTAAATTATACAGTTAAAGCGGTATAGGGTTTTTATGCATCATGTCTCCTCATTGAAGGTATAAAAAGTTAATGGAACCTTGTAGAATTCACACACCAAAAGAGCCCTAATAATGATTATACTTACACTATTTTCAACATCTTTACAAACACGGGTAGTAACCTCGTCATATCGAGAAGCGTTTAGTACAGTGATTTTGTCATAGTTTGGTTAAGATGAACATGGTTGTGTTAAGTTACTTCCCCGAACGATTGCCTCAGTTCTATTCAAACGAGCAAATAAAAAGCAAATATGATGTTTTAATTTGCATTGTTAGTCAAACGATCTACATTGGAATTGTTGTTTTAAAGAAACTAACGCAGAATAAGCAAACTATCGAAATTGCTATGGTTTGGTTAAGTTATGACATGGTTCGGTTAAGTGTCTAGAAATTCGTCATGGTTTTGATCAAGTTTGTCATGGTTTTGATCAAGTTTGTCATGGTTTAGATCCAAATTAATATGTATGTGTTTCAGCTCAATATTGATAGTTTGTTTAAAAACGCCTGTAATTAAACGAAGTTACACAATTTACCAACTGACTAAGAAGAAAAAAAACGCCTTTAAAACCAAAATTAGATGCTGTAATTGGCAAAGCGTACATTAAACAATTTAACTGTTCGTGACTTGTCTTTGTATGCAAATCGTACTACTACGATTGTCTTGTAAAAGAATTAGGAGCACTCATGTAATCCCACATACAAACACATTATTTGAAAAGGATGAGATTTTGGTGATTCATAAATCCTTAATAGCTTCAATGAACATTACTTTGAGCAGCAAATCGGAGGACTTACCTTGTTTGTATTGGATACCTAAGCTTCACAAAATTCCATACAAACGGCCGTACATTGCCAGCTCATCTGCATGTTCGACGAAAGAATTGTCCATTAGATTGACAAAGATTCTTTCCGCAATGAAAGAGGGTTTTCAGAAATACCGTGAAACTGTTTACTCGCGTAGTGGTATCAACCATTTATGGATTTTAAAACAAAACTCTTAAAGAACATATGAATAAATGTATATCTCGATATTTCTCTGAAATTTGTTCTATCAAAACGTTTAATTTTTCAACCCTGTGTACCACCATTCCCTATGTGTAATTGAAAAATCGTCTAAAAGAAATAATTTAAATCTACAATGCTTTTCAACATAAAAATGGTAGCGCGCGCTATACATTTATTACTTTTGGATACCATACGGCATATTTTGTTAATTGTGAACAAAAAAATAAAACATGCTACACAGAGGAACAAGTGATCTGTATGCTGGAGTTTCTTATTGACAAAATATTTGTTGAATTTGGAGGTAGAATTGTCACCAAATTGTAGGTATTTCTATGGGAGCGAACTGTGCGGCAGCGACCTCTTCTTATCTTCATATTAGTCTGAGTTCCTTCAAACATTTGTAAAAAACAAGAAGATCAAAGAAGCCAGATTATTTAATTTCACATTCATATATATTGTCTTTCCATTAACAATCCTGACTTTTCTGATTGAATTCCATTAATATATCCCCAAGAACTAGAAATTAAAGTAACAACAGACACGGCTTCCTCTGTCTCATTTTTAGACTTATACCTCGAATTTGACATGAGCGGTCATCTTAGTACCAGAATCTATGACAAACGAGACGATTTTAATTTTAAAATTATCAGTTTCTCCAACCTCAATAACAATATACCAACTTCTCCTGCATATGGAATATACATTTCCCAACTCATTCGATATTCAAGAGTTTGCAGATGCTACTCAGACTTTGTAAACCGTCACCAGTGTCTGAGCAGAAAGTTGACGAACCAGTGGTATGTCAAAGAACGTCTCGTCCTTTTTCCAAAAAAGTTCATCGGAAGACCTTGTGGGTAAATATTCCTTCTCAACTTCACAAATGATAAACGATGGTCTTTAAGTAAACATTCTAAGTACTGACGTTGTTTGTCACCTTAATGGTGTGTTATGGTACTCTTTAATTTGTCTTTGTAAATTATTACTTTAACTGTTTAGTCTATTTTGGCCCAATCCATTTGACGTGGCTCGGTACTTATACATCCCGTCATTGTGTTATTGTGCTATGGTAATTTTTTGTATTCTTGTCTTTCGTTTTTGCTTATGTGCTTTGTCGATATGCCTTTTTGTTTTTCTTTGTTGAAATATTTGTTTTGTTTTTATAGTGACTAAGATTATAACACAATGTTGCCTGCTGTACCCTTATTTTTTGACATTTTACCTACTATGTCTGTTTGTTTTGTTCACACATCGTCGTCAATATAATGGAATTTTATGCAACTGTCATACAAGTGAGAGGTTAAACTGGCTATAAAACCAGGTTTAATCCACCATTTTCTACAGAAAAAAATGTATGTACCAAGTCAGGAATATGACAGTTGTTATCCATTCGTTTGATGTGTTTCAGTTTTTGGTTTTGCCATTTGATTAGGGACTTTCCGTTTCGAATTTTCTGCAAAGTCCCGTATTTTTGTTATTTTGCTTTTATAATTCAAATAGTCACTGCTCTTTTAAACTAACTTTTGGGATAATAATTACAAAAACAGAAAGCGCTGCTTCTGTTTCACATAGATTATTTTCTCCGTATGTCCATGATTGACTCTGTCGATGATATCGTGAGTGGCATCACTTGTAAAATTTGTAAAAACTATTAGTAAAATTAAAATAAAAAAAAAAAAAAATACACACAAGTTTAGAATTTAAATATATGAAAAATCACAATTCCGAATTAGAATGAAGCCGATTTAATGTGCACTTTTATCAATTATTATTACGAACGAATAAAAATGATTATGTTTTTGTAATATTGTATAATGCATTGGTTTTCTCATTTAAATTTTATTTCATATAATTTTGTCGGAGCCTTTTATAGCTTGCTAAAAGGTACGGATTTTGTTCATTGTTGAAGGCCGTACGACGACATATAGTTGCTTAAATCTACGTCATTTTGGTCTCGGGTGGATAGTTATCTCATTGGCAATCAAACCGCATGTACTTAATATATATAATACTACATAAAATGTGCGTATATATGTCCTTTTGTATTCCAAATAAAACGATTTAAAAAAGAGTATTTCAATATATATAATGTCTGTTTATTTTGAAAGTTACTCTTCCTTCATTCACGAATAGAATCACATAACTGAACCATGTTCAACATGAAATAAACCATGACACGAATGAACCAAACCATGACACCGAATATTCTGTAATCTCAAATTGTGTGCACTAGGGGCTGTTTTTCGGGAAAATTGACGGCAGTTTTATATCATAATAAAATATGTAATGTAGCAGACAGTAAGCAAACCACTTTTCTTTATTCATTAGAAACGAATCACAACTTTTAAATTTTGACATACGCAAGCATTATTCTGTGTCAAATCAATAACTATATGATACAAATTTAGATGTACTAACATATAAGCTATAAACAAAGATACTTACCAGCTTGAGTTTGTTGTCATTATTTCCTTTAACAAACTATTCGAATGTTTATATTTTGACACTGTTTGTCATCAAAAACACTTAACACAACCATGTTCATCTTAACCAAACTATGACAAAACCACTGTACTAAACGCTTTTCGATATGACGAGGTTACTACCCGTGACAAACAATCGTAAAATATTATCAAACCCTAATTGACATTGATGTCGAAAACCATTTAATAAAGAACTGATAATTGTACTTGTTTTTACAATTGAACATGGTTTCACATTTTTCATGTCGAGCCGACTTTACGGTATGGGGTTTTCTCATTACCGACCGTGCGAGGACTGTATAGCCAGTCAAGGTCGTTAAAAACTCCCATCATCATTGTTGAAGGCTGTACGATTGCCTATAATTGCTTGCATCCACTCCATTTGAACTTTGGTGGATAGTTGTCTCATTGGCAATCATATCACATCTCCTTTTAATTATATTGATTATTGTACATGTATTATCAAAAATATTTGCACTGTATGACATTCGGATCCTACATATCTTGGTCTCTTAAAGAAAATAAATAGCCTGGCTTTAACAGAATTCATTATTTTTTCAATATTATTTGGCTTTTGAATATCCTTACTAATATTGGAGAGAAGCATCCATAATTTGAAACCCATCAAATCTGAAGTATTAGTTATATTATATATAAGCATGTCCCCCAATGGTTGACTGGGATAAAGAAATATGATTATCCCATGCCGAAGTTGAGCGTCCGTTATGCTGTGCGGGATGTATAAATACGTAGTCGCGTCCGTTCGAAATGTGGGACATTAAGAACCATTATAACTCTTTGAGGGATGCGTTGATTGCTTGTTGCAAGGCAAAATTTCTCTCCCTATCGTACATGCCTTAATTTCCCAGTGACAGACAATGTTTCTGACCCTTCATCCCGTTCAACCCTACATTTGATGAACCTATTTATTGTATTAATTGTTAATTCACGGTTGGTTAATTTGTTCTCGTCCTGAACATGCATGAAATATTTCAAAATTCATGATCGCCAAAAAACATGTGGTGTACGCAATTAAGTTTTTATACGTTTTTTTACTTCTTAGTCGGTACCGCTGCTGCTTGACAATGAGTCCCAAAGAGTACCTGTTGCCATTTATTTTGTCTCATCATAATTCATATAACACATTTTGTTTTTTGATCCCACGGTGATTTTTTAACGATAATTTGCATACAAGCCATATTTCACCTAGACAATACAAATATGTAATAAAAATATACCTTCATATAATAAATATAGAGATAAATGGGGTAAAAATTTTAGACATTTACTTAAATTTCGATTTCTTGGGCATTTCTATCCTTTGGACAGACATACTTAACTTTTTTGGTCTATGTAGATTTTTGTAAAAAGTTTTGGAATATCTTCTTTACAAAAGTATTCTCTTAATTTGTGTTACAATTCTGTGGAAATAATTCGTTTTTATTAAATTTTCATGATTTCAGAAAAAAACGGCATTTTTGGCTTTATATTTATCTAATTTAAAAACAATTCATCGGTGATTTCTTCATAAAAATTGAAAAAAAATACTCTTCATACAGTATCAGGTCAAATGTCTTTTTTAAAAAAGAGGGGTCCATGTACTCGTTTTCAAGCTAATGATTACAGTCACTCGAAAAATGCAACTTTTCCCGATATGTCGCAGACTGACGTCGCAAAAAATAACATTTTACGTTTAAGCAACGTCATTACCTCCCTTGTAACTGTATCGTTTGCCCTTAAATATTCAATTTACACAATCATAACATTGAACTAAGGCGGCTGCGACTGTCTTTCCCTCACAACGTTGGTGTCAGATGTCAGACCTCTTTGGCTGTTCTGTTTAGTCCATTTGAGCTTTTACATGTTTTATCCTCGCAATAAGCTTGTTCTCGGCTGACCACTACACTTTGTTCATAGACAGCCGGTGAGATCCGATCTGTTGTAGAATCTGATTGTTTGAGTGTAGCGTAATACAAGCGGATCCCAGTTTATCCTCGCAACGATTTAAGCTTAATAAATTCAAAGCTTTAGTGATCGAGCTTCTCTGATGAAGGTTATTGCAGAAACTCGTATCGAGCGCAATAACGTCACACCTCACACCTCAAATTTTGTTTTATTAACAATTTAATGATTTTTTATTTAAATTAGATCCTATTGTATATCTATATATTTATACCTTTCATCAAATCCTGTTTTAGTAATGTAATTTCATGTTTGCAAACGTTCTCAACAAGCTCTGTTATCCTGCTTCCGTTAATATAGGTACTAAATTTGTCTGCAAACATAACAAATATGATTAAACACAACATCGTCTGTTTTTGTCTTATGACATCTCTTAATGATTTTTGTTATTTTGATTATTGTTGGTTTCCTTAACCACTTTTTTTTAGAAACGTGACGGTTTAAAGTTGACTTAGTAATTATTGTTGAAGAAATTTGTACATGTATTGGCTTAATGATGTCTTCTTTACAATAATAGAAAAACAAAGGATATGGGGTATCCTTCCATGACACAAAATCAGTACATGCAAAACAAAAAACACACAAAAAGCAAAGGAACAGCGCTTTTATTTACGTATACCTCACATATTTGTTTATTCATCTCTTATTGTACGAGGTTTCTACGAGATTGAACATATAAGTTTACACATTTTTTTGCAATTTAATCAAACAGGACCCTCGTAGGTGCTAGAGTGGTATAATTAGTTAAGTTAACAGTTATTACTAGCCTGTCAACTCAAACCAAACACTTGACAAAGTGCGGTTAATTCAGATTTGAATTGAGTAGGATTTTTAGTTTCAAAAGGTTGGTGGTTCTCCCCGGGTACTCCTGCTACCTCCACATATGACGTGAAACATGGCTACCATTATATGCCACATGTTAAACTCAATTAATTAATCTAATGCAACCTGTTTTTGTTTTGTTCAATAGGTAGATTTGCAAAAGTGAAGCGAAAGATACCAAAATCATAAGTTGAAAACAAACTGACAACCCTATGGCAAAAAACGAAAAACGAATAAAAAAAAGGAACAACAGTACACACAACACATAGAAAACTAAAGACTGAGCAACACGAACTCCAACAAAAACCGTTCAAAGTTCAAAGTTTATATTGCACTTGTTTGAACCCACATTAAGCAAAAGACCCCAAACAGCCATAGTTGATATACAAGAAGAAAATTTCAGATTAGAGTCGTGTTTTTCTATGTTTAATGTCCGCTTGTTAATTAGCTTTTGGTATGAAAAAAACAAATAATTAAAATCAAGAAAACAACTTTTGCGTTATTTTTTAAATTTAATTCATGTGAATGTCTTATAGTCCACCATAAACATTTTCTGAAAGTTGTCTATACACGCACTTACATCGTACGCTGAATAAAAAATAAAGGGGTCGATTCAAAATTTTGAAATATTCTGAATTGCTGTTATATTGATTGAATTTCGCTTTGAAATTGTATTTAAAATATTTTCCAAATACGTTTTAATTGTATTTAAATCCAACTTTTCAATTGTGTGAGAGAAAAGTGGTCTTTGAAATTGTAAAATGGTCTTATTCCGTAAATAAAATTAAATCAAAATACGGTTTCTCTTCGTTTTCCCTTCTCTCATTATTTTCTTAAAAGTGTCGTCTTTTTTTTTCTGTTTCTTTTTTGCCGGATTATAAGAAAGATAATAGATGAAAGAACCTTTTTTTTAATTTTCAATTCAAGTTTAACATACCGCAGCTGTACCAAAAAAAAAATCAAAACTTGTGACCCAATTTGTGGTGGGGGGGGGGGGGGGGGGGGGGGGGGGGAGATAACTTCGAAATTTTTTGATAGGGGTGTGCCATTTCTGCCCAAAAAAATGTACCCATTTTTATATAACATTCACTAATATTTGGTACCTATATAAATATATACAAAAATGACCTTTACTTACATACAATATTTTAATTTTAAAATGCATATAGATTCAGGGGCTTTATATTATATAAAGCCCCTGATTGATTCAAATACCACAATTGGCCATTAATATAAGATTTCCGATAACATATTTATATAGGATATATAGAACATAGCCAAAATCAATATATATAAAGTTATGAAAAAACAATGCATATCAATATAGAATGTCATTACAAAACAGTGTCATATATATAAAATTTCGCAAAATTATGACCCATATTTTTTGGCATATCCACGTATACCCATTAATAGAAAGTTACAGCCCTTTTTCATGGATATTATGCTACGTGATTGAAGTTGATTGATACATGTCTATTTTTCTTTTACATTTACAAAAAATTAGCCGCGAAAATAATTATAAGTAGATTAAGTATATGGAGTAACCCAATAAACTATGGGCTAGAAGTAAAATATCAGTCATGATCAAGATTAAAAATGATAGTTCTAAGATTAAAGTTGGAATTATCAAATTTCATGTTGACATTTCCAAGATTAAAGTTGATAAGTCCAAGATTAAAGTTGATAATTCCAGGATTAATGTTGGAAATTCCAATATTAAAGTTGGAAATTCCAAGATTAAAGTTGAAAATTCCAAGATTAAAGTTGATAATTCCAGGATTAAAGTTGATAATTCCAAGATTAAAGTTGATAATTCCAAGATTAAAGTTGGAAATTCCAAGATTAAAGTTGATAATTCCAAGATTACAGTTGGAAATTCCAAGATTAAAGTTGATAATTCCAGGATTAAAGTTGATAATTCCAAGATTAAAGTTGATAATTCCAAGATTAGAGTTGGAAATTCCAAGATTAAAGTTGGAAAATCCAGGATTAAAGTTGATAATTCCAAGATTAAAGTTGGAAATTCCAAGATTAAAGTTGGAAATTCCAAGATTAAAGTCGACAATTTGAAAAAGAAATTTAAAAAAGGATGGCCCTAATACGCTTCCGTAGGTACCAGCTTGCAGACACTCGTTAATCGATGTTCTTTAAAAATAAATTTGCTAAATTGCACTGTCAAAAAGATACCTTAAAGCATAAATTCTACAGTTTGTCGGTTTAAGTCCGGGTTATATTACTATTACCTAGTGAATCATTGAAAGCCATTGCAGCGGTCCTATTATGTGAATAATAAAATTTCAAAGGCCACATTAGTATTGAAATTTTCCTAAATGGACGCAGTTTTCCTTTGGGAGAGAGGGACAGACATAATTTCGCCCCTTTCCCACTTTTGAGAGTGTTTTTTCTATGTTAAATCATACATTTTTTAAGTTCTTACCATTTATTTCTGCAACTAGGTCTTCTTTCACTATCGTTTCTAAATTTTTGTTAAATTCCGATACATCAAGATCCACCGTCAAAGGCACACCTTTACCATCAATCGTAGGAATTCGTCCATTTAATTGCCTCAGGGAACAATCAGCAGTAGCGACAAATACCATGAATATGCAGAACAAAGTCATCTTCAGACTTTCTTTCCTGAATATAACAACTAGCGGGAGTAATTCAAAAGTTATATTGTATAAAATTAATTGTTAATTTATCATGCAACTTTCCGGTGCACACTTCCTTTTCAACTTATATTCGGACATTATTACTTGATAAACACTTTGTATATGAGTAAATAACATACTAAGTAGAAGAAAAATAAGGTAGATGCATGGTCAAATGTGAAAAATAAATGCTGACGCAGAAAAGAGAATTTGTGTCAATGTAATGCTTGTTTTAAAACTTAAATATTTCAATGACTTTTGTAGAAATTAGAACGGAAAGGAGTTTTATTAAAAAATCCTTCGTACTGAATGGTTTTGTATCTTCTTTTAAACCTATTAATATGTGGTTTTGGGAAACGAGGGATGTAGCATACATAACACCACCACTCATGTACTTATATATTACACTTACAATGTAGGTTAAATGGTCTACATGTCAGGGGATGGACCAGACCATAACGCGAAATATCAATGTAATGAAGCCAATACCGGCTGACAAAAATGTAGAATATACTTCAATAATTTAATGCGTCTGGTGGATATTAAACCTTTTACCCGATTGCTCAAAACAAAGGCTTCTAAAGCAAAGAACAAGGATATATATAAATACTTAAGAAGCTATTTCATCAAAGTGACGTAAAAGAATAGCCAACACCACTTAAGCTCTTTTAACTTTGCCTGCATGAGTTAGAACCTAAGTTTTTTAATACATGTAATATATAATTTCGAAAAATATCCTCGGAAAAGTTATGAAATGTATGTTTTAAATCAAGCCAATGACGAAAAAATGATTACTGACCGAATGATAATTACTAGGATTTAAAGTCAACTAGCAGCTGTATCGATCTACTTCTAATTACTTAATAATTATCGAATAAAATGCTCCGCTGGATGCAGTTTGATACGACCGCAGAGGTCGAACCCTAAACAGTTAGGGCAAGTATGGACACAACATTTAAGCTTGGTATAACTCTGAATTTAGATTGTGATTAAATATTTGACACAGCATAGGTTTCTGACACAGAATGAATGTGGTCTAAGAACTTAAAATTTTTTAATTTACCTATTCAAACCATATCATTATTATTTGCTTTTATATATAAATCAGAAATAACCAACTTAAAATGGAAAATTTTGAAGAAAAAAAAAGGAAAAAAAGGGGGAAAAAAAAACCCCTCTCAAATGTTTTGAACCCCTTATGATTCATCACCCCCAAACTCAATCCTAGCCTTTCCTTTGTGGAATGGTACCTTGCAGTACAATTTCAGAGAGATCCATACACTTGAACACAAGTTATTGTCTGGAAACTAGAAAAATGCTTGTTTTTTTGGCCCCAAATTCCTAAACGTTTGGGGCAATTACCCCCAAACTCAAATCCAGCTTTCCCTTTGTAATATGGAACCTTGTAGTACAATTTCAGAAAGATCCATACAGTTACACACAAGTTATTGTCCTGAAACTAGAAAAATGCTTATTTTTTACCCCTTTTTGGCCCCAAATTCCTAAACGTTTTAGGCAATTACCCCCGAACTCAATTCCAGCTTTCCCTCTGTGGTATGGTACCTTGCAGTACAATTTCAGAAAGATCCATACACTTACACACAAGTTATTGTCATGAAACTAGAAAAATGCTTGTTTTTTGCCCCTTTTTTGGCCCCTAATTCCTAAAATATTGAGGCAGTTACTCCCAAAATCACTCCCAGCATTCCCTTTGTAATACGAAACATTGTGGTACAATGTCAGAGAGATCCACACAATAACACACAAGTTATTGTCTGGAAGTTACAAAAATGCTTATTTTTGGCCCCTTTTTGGTCCCTAATTCCTTAACTGTTAGTACCATAAACCCCAAAATCAATCCCAACCTTCCTTTTGTGGTATTGAACCTTGTGGTTTTCATAGAGATCCATTCACTTAAACTAAAGTTATTGTGCGAAAGCCAATGTGTCTTCGGACGAGGACGACAACGACGACGACGCCAACGTCATACCAATATACGAAACTTTTTGCGGTCGTATAAAACGGGTCACTATCGTGATATATGGACTGCCCACAGGACAGTGGTTTTGACTAAGACAGCGATAATGATCGAGCCGTAGGACCAGAGTTTTTTGTTTATTTCAAAGATTTTTTTTTAAATGGCGAAACAATGATAACTGGACCATCTGTGACTAACAGTTTACCAACAGCGGTATCTTTAAGTGCTAGGTAATGAAAAAAAAAAACACTTTATGAGAATTTTAAAACAAAATGCCCATGAGTATTTGGATAGTATCAGAGTTGAGAAATTCATCCAAAACATCAATGTGATAGATGAATAGAAAATTGAATATTCAATTCAAAGAATGAAAATTTGTTCCCTAATTCTGTATCATAGCGCCTGTGCAAACATAGGTAGTCAAAAAGAGCAGTTACAATAATCTTTCAATCAGTTAAATTGAGGTCTGGAGCTGGCATGTCAGTAACTGCTAGTATTAAATCCTTTGTTGATAAATGTATCATTGTCATTTTGCCTAGTTTCATCTGTTACCTATTATAACATCGGTTTCGGACTTCGTTTGAACTGAGTTTTACTGTGTGTATTGCTGTGTGATTGTTTTTTACTTTGGCTTAATGTATAGGTGTAATACCACCATTGATTTTTCCCTATTAGTCTTTGTTAAATTTGCACTTTTCAAAAAATTGTGCAGAATTTATCGTTGTTTCAAATAAAGAAATACTTGGCATGAGTAAAGTTTTATCCTGCCTAGTACTATAGAAAAAAGTTCACATGACATTTCATATAAGAAAATATCCATCACTGGAAGTTAACCAATCAAATTTTCACCTCTTTTATATCTGTGTGCATGCTTTAGTAACCATGTTACCTGAAGTTTCCAATTTTTTTTTATAGAAACACCAAATAAAAAAATAATTGTGCTTAGAAACACCTAAGATATATGTTTATGACCCAGACATTTTTTACTGCAATGAAATGTAGGATTAATTTCCTACAACTGTCAAATTCAAGGGAATATTTTTTTCGACCCTTTTTCGTCATGAATGTTTTTTTTTTAAATTTTGGTTCATTTATATGTTTCGGAGTTTAGTATGACGTCCATTTTTGCTGAACTAGGACAAATTTTTAATTAGAGGGTCAGCCGAAGCCTGGCTCTGGGTACGGAATTTTCTCGCTATGTTGAAGACCCATTTGGGCTGTAATCTGCTCTTTGGTCGAGTTGACACATTCCTCGTTTCTATTTTCAATTATATTTACGAATTCGAATCCTTAACGCTCTTCAACAGCTTGCTTTATATAAAATTGAGAATGGAAATGGGGAATGTGTCAAAGAGACAACAACCCGACCATAGAACAGACAACAGCCGAAGGCCACCAATGGGTCTTCAATGCAGCGAGAAACTCCCGCACCCGGAGGCTTCCTTCAGCTGGCCCCTAAACAAATATGTATACTAGTTCAGTGATAATGGACGTCATACTAAACTACAAATTATACACAAGAAACTAAAATTAAAAATGATACAAGACTATCAAAGGCCAGAGGCTCCTTACTTGGGACAGGCGCAAAAATGCTGCGGGGATAAACATGTTTTTTGAGATCTCAACCCTCCCCCTATACCTCTAGCCAATGTAGAAAAAAAACAAACGTACAACAGTACGCACAGTAAAACTCAGTTTGAGAGAAGTCCGAGTCCGATGTCAGAAAAGGAAACAAAAGAAAATAAACAAAATCACAATAATACATAAATAACAACAGACTACTAGCAGTTACTGACATGCCAGCTCCAAACCTCAATTAAACTGATTGAAAGATTATGTCTTCATCATATGAATATCAGGCACAATCCCTCCTGTTAGGGGTTTAGTATTATACCATCATAAATTATATGAGAAGAACATAACCCGTGTCATGCCAACAACTGCCCAGTTAACTGTTTTTATTCGAGCGTCACTAATGAGTCTTTTGGAGACGAAACAAGAGTCTGGCGTACAATATTATACGTCTGTTAACTTTGATTTGTTTTTTTTCCACCAAGCAAGGGCATTTAAAAAATACAATCATAAGCAAGTGAGACACCACAATCACCATGCAGTTCCCAACTGATCTTTTGATATTGGTTTCGACTTCTTTCTCTGCATTTTAAACGGTACCAAACAATCAAAAACATGGTTTTAAATAAATGTTTTATTCAAAACGAAGTAAATAATAACATAATGTGTAGATGACGTCATGACAAAATGTGTAAACATTATAAATAATAATAAAATTGAGAATGGAAATGGGGAATGTGTCAAAGAGACAACAACCCGACCATAGAACAGACAACAGCAGAAGGTCACCAACACCCGCACCCGGAGGCGTCCTTCAGCTGGCCCCTAAACAAATATTTATACTAGTTCAGTGATAATGAACGCCATACTAAACTCCAAATTGTACACAAGAAACTAAAATTAAAAATTATACAAGACTGACACTGAAACTAGAAAAATGCTTATTTTTGACCCCTTTTTGGCCCCAAATTCCTAAACGTTTTAGGCAATTACCCCCGAACTCAATTCCAGCTTTCCCTCTGTGGTATGGTACCTTGCAGTACAATTTCAGAAAGATCCATACACTTACACACAAGTTATTGTCATGAAACTAGAAAAATGCTTGTTTTTTGCCCCTTTTGTGGCCCCTAAGTCCTAAAATATTGAGGCAGTTACTCCCAAAATCACTCCCAGCATTCCCTTTGTAATATGAAACCTTGTGGTACAATGTCAGAGAGATCCACACACTAACACACAAGTTATTGTCTGGAAGTTACAAAAATGCTTATTTTTGGCCCCTTTTTGGTCCCTAATTCCTTAACTGTTAGTACCATAACCCCCAAAATCAATCCCAACCTTCCTTTTGTGGTATTGAACCTTGTGGTTTTCATAGAGATCCATTCACTTAAACTAAAGTTATTGTGCGAAAGCCAATGTGTCTTCGGACGAGGACGACAACGACGACGACGACGCCAACGTCATACCAATATACGAAA